ATCAAAATGGGTAGGTGTCGGGCGACACCTGTCCATTTTTTGTTGTTTTTATGTGTACCTACAGGAATATTTGAAGAGATAGTATGATTGAGAATGAGATGTATGTGTGGACGCGTGGCTGATTTGACTTCTATAGCTATATTTCAACAGTGAACAGGTGAATTCAGCTTTGTCTTTTTCTGAGGTCTAAGATAAGTACTCGTTTGTCTTTCGTGGTGTGATATATTTATATAACTTGCAAGTAATTAAAAATTTGAGGTTTCAACGAAGTAAATATTTTTATTAAGACCACTCAATAGGATTATCGTAACGCAGCATTTGGAACGGTTCAAGGTGCCAAGCGTTTAATTCAGCACTGAACAAATGCAGTATCCTTTGAGAATGTTATCCAATGGAAACATGATCTTGGAGGTGATCCAAAATTTTACTTTGTCTTTTAGAGAAAAGTGAAAGGCCCGTACATAATAGATTCGCTTTAACTGCAGAAGTAGAAACAATATTTTATCTTCGGAATGTATTTGGTGGTCTCAGCTTTCCTTTTCCGCTCTCTATAATAATAATAATAATAGTCTTTTCTACACCGCAGCTATAATCAGGTTGTATTATTTAATAATTACGTCCTGAAGATACTTAGTTTGGTAAACCGAGTGCAAGGAATTCAAATTTGGCCTCAGATTGCTTCTAAAATAATGTATTCTCCTGTCTAGAGAAAAAGTATTAAAAAAATTGCATACATATTCGCTTTCTTTCAAACATTAGCAAAAAACAAATTCTCCTGGAATACGAGGTTGTCGTGTCGCAAGAAGACAGAATAGGATGTGTAACATGAAAATTTGTTGAAAAATCGAAATTTCTACAATTTAATCTAACTAACTTAAGTAACACAGTAGCTAAAACTTTAAAACAAGGCTTTATTTTTAAATTTTGCAAAGTGTAACAATTTTAATGCTGACTAATTAAATAATTCATTCAATTTACAAACAAAATTAAGGAAAAAATTACCTCTTTTAATATACACAGTCCATGCTATGCGGTTCTTAGTATTTACACCACTGGCACTGATTGATATACTTAATTGAACACAAATTCCGTGAATTTTCACTTTTTTTTTTGATAAGTCAATAGGCCAAATTAAATAGGTATGTAGATATATGTCAAATATTTTTATTTGTAGTATTAGCAAAAATGTATATTTTTCAAAAAATTTAATATCTTCTATCAAGATTTGTTCTTCTGGAAATGATCCAAATAATTACGACCTAATTTTTTTGTGCCTACCTATTTAAGTTACAGGTAGTATTATTCTTCTGTCATTTCGATCACTCAATTCTCGTGTGATACTGCATTCAGTGTAATATGTTTTGACTGACATCAAGTTCTTGAAAGAGGTATAATATACCTACAATGAAATGCATGAAATGCCGGCTCCCGATATTCTAACACAAATCGGACGGCCATATTTAGTTAGGAAAGTTTGTGAGGGTGAGGTATTAGCTACCCACACATCAATCACGCCTTGAAAGATAGGAAATGAACAAACCTAAAGCTGATTTTATATACGGGTTTCATGTACGCCTTTTGTTCCACTGTTGTGTTGTGATACACCTTTGATTGACTCGCACGAACCAAACCAGAGGTTTATCGGAAGTTTGCGTTGTATTTTTCATCGGAATCGGGCACATTAATAGATTTTCGCCGGCAGATATAATGAAAAATGGTCCGGAGTTATGCATAATTGAAATAAGAGAAACCCCATTAAAAAATTTTGTAGCACTTAATGAAGTCATTATTACTTATTTATTTATTTAGAAATACAACAGCCAATGGGACGATATTACACCTACTGCAGGATAAAATAGCAATCAAAATATAAAAAGCTAAGTGCCATACAACAACAAGAAATAAATAAAATAGATAAAGTTATCAAGAAAATATGTTCATCTAATGATAATTTATCATCAAACGTAAAAGTAAGGTCGGTAAATTGCGTAAGTCTATTTAAAAAACATTCACCAATTTCTTTTATCAAAATCTAGAGTAGTTGTGCCTCGACTTTAGGATAAACCATTTTACATTTGCTTACATTCATAGAGGGATTATTATTTTGAATCTAATGCAATCAGTAGAATATTTAAAGAAATAACTTCAGGTCGTCCGCATACCTAGTAGAATAAATACCTCCTAGTTGACGTCAAGGTATTCGGTTAGATAATTAATAAAGTAAAATACAACTGTTGCCTCAGAAATTATCATTGGGGAACCTCCGAAATTATTGAAATTTATCCGATTGAAACGTTACTTGTACATGCTGACATAATCTGTTAGTTATGTTGTTCTCAATACCTTCTTTATAAACAGGATATATTCACGACCCCTTTCCATATTTGTCGATATACCTTGAATTTAATTATTATTTATTTAATTATTATATTATGCCAACATTATTTCGTATTTTTTCCTTAGTGCTACGTTCCAATAATAATTATAGATACACAGCGATGACCCTATTTCGATATACTGGTAGTATATTGTAAATTTTAATCCATTGTTAGCCCATGAAATATTGATATAGGGATTATGATCGTGTTTAGAGACCAGTTAACAATTGTATTGCTCTCTTGGAATTCGAATGTGCCCTTATAAATCAAGGAAATGCCTGCCTGATTGGCACGACCACCACTAATAATTAATTCATTGTTAACGTTAATAATAGGATTGCGTCAATGGCCATGTGCTTAAAACAAAACCGGTATATAGCAATTCCGTGTGCTCCTGTATAATAATTTGAGTGTCTAATAGATATTATTTTTCATCAACCATTAGTAAGAAATAATTATTTTTAAATCTATATTAATTATAAAACACATTGCTCCAATATTTTATTTCTTCTATTTTCAATTATTGTACGTAGCGTAGATATAAACAAAACGTTCTTGCTTTTGAATATAGTGTGTATAATTGGGTACCTACTTCCTGAGCCAATGATTATGTCTATACATTTTAAAAGCAGTAGTTTGAATAATCTGGCTATACTAATAAATTGGAAAAGGGTCAAAGGTATGTGGAAATCCCGAAGTTATTTTCCTATTCATCCCTGCCAATATTTATTTAATCATATTGTGGCGTGTATCGTCTTTTTAGCAATGATTTTCATCCGTACATGGAAGACATAATAAATTTGCGGAGTTTTCAATAACGTGACGTTTTTGACCAAGTTGTTGATGCCGTCGTCATATCGCTTATATTGGAGGGTGCGTCAGCTTGTCACTGGAACGGCAGCCGAAGGGCCCAGACCGACAGCGATCACGAACAACCTCTTTGCGGGGCTGTCATCATCGATAATGATCTCGATCGCATCCTACCTTATTAACATAAAACTGCCACAACCAAAATATGTTATATCGACCTTAACCTTTTAGACGTTCTATTAATACGTGCCTCCTTGTGATGAATGTCCGTTTTTAGGCCACTAAAATAATAGAAAACGTGCTTAAGTGCTAAATTTGTTTTACAGTAGAAGGAATAGAATAGAATAGAAATCAGTATAAAAACCAGGCAAGTCAACTTAATATTAATTAAATTAGACTCGTTTGCATTGTGATTCACTTTATAAAGGTTAATTAATCTTAATTGATCCGTAAAAGATAAGCAAGTTGGTGGTTGGTTGCACTTTATTTGTCATTTTTTAATAGAAATCGAAAACTACTTACATCACCCAGCCACATGTTCAAAGTTAAGAGGTGTTGGAGGCTCGTTACTGTCAAGAATAAAATATATTACCTTTTCGAGACCAAGAAATTTTAATCTTGGAAACATATTAATTTTAACGTCAGATGCCTTCATAAAATTTGCGATAATATTTATATTTTCGGATACGCTTAATATCTGTAAAGTCATAAATCAAAAGTTACGAAAAAGTTTCATTCAATGCCAAAGCTACAATGGAAATCTCATCGATTGCCTCTTTTGAAGCCCTTATTGTTGGAATATTTTAATAAACTGAACTTTAAATAAGTTCAAGATGTAACGATAATAAAGCTTTTCTACACTCAATTACACTTATATTGGAGCGTTATTGCTTTTTTCAGCCGAGTTATAATTTCGTATTCATCGGTATTGTTAAATTTCATTTTAGACACAAAAAGTTGCTTTGTGAATGGTAACTTATTATTCTGCCGAACAATAGGCTGTTAAGGTTTTTTTATTCACATACCCTTCTATCAGTTACAAGCAACCGATAAGGTAAAACGGATACTTTGGGCTAAATTTGAGAGATATGAAAATGCACTGATTTGTATCGTATGACATTGATTGAATATTTGAGTACCTTTTTGTAGTTCATTCTAAAGGAGAAGGTACAGGTATTATTCGCTGCTCTTACCTGAGCAATAGGTATGTCCAAGATACTCCTATTACAAAAGCAATGATTTGTAGCACGAGCTCGAATAAATCGCACAAAGGGATGCTGACCTCTTTAGACTTCCTGTTATTATTGTGGTTAATGAAAACTCGCGGACCAGTGCGATTACTTAGACGAGAAAGATGAACCGAGCGGGTTGTGTTTCCAATATTGACGTTGAGTAATGTACCATCAATAGAGGTCAAATTTTGAATTTGTTTACAATAGCAAAAGTCAGCAGAGCGAAAGCTAACCTAAGTGGATTCAAACGAATGCCTATGTGTTCACAATATACAAGGTGCCCATTTTTTAATTCCTTATCCTTATATCATTAAAATGAATTAAATCAAAAATAACATTTTTTTTTCAATTGGCAGGTTCAATTGACGTCCCTCTTGACGAAAGCTACCCACAGCGATAATAATTATTAACAGGGAATAAACATGTTCCCAATCGCTTTTTCGTTTTCTCGCAAGTCAGTCTTCGCTCCGTAAATATTTCTCTCTTTTATAAATGAACTCAGCTCACACCAATGCCACTCGGTCTATTAATTAAAGGCTTAGACAGGAAGTAAATGAGTTTAAGTAGAAAATTAACTTACCCGATATCCCATCATAGGTCCACCATTCTTCCCAGCTAACGGCTGCCGTTCCTGTAACAAAACAAAAACGATTGACTCTGTGTGGATTGATCGTAGACGGGCGGAGATCTGCCACAGGTTACTCCTAGACGACGTGAAGATGGGGCGACCTATTGATTTTTTTTAAGAGGGCATCTTGGATTAAAGTTTACAGTTCGATTATTGTCGCGTAGTTCGAATTCAGATAAAAAAATCAATAGGTTCCTACTACTTTTTTATCAGTATATCAATATACTTCTAGAGTAAATTTAGAGTTAATTTGAAATCCAACTTGAATATGACATCAAATATTTCATCAAAAAACTAGAATTACCTACATTATGCTTAAATTGTTTGAAGTTTAAAGTTTTGTCAATAATAAAGCGAAGTTATTTATTATGTTCATTGGAATAGTGCAATTTCAATAGTAAGAAAGATGAAAAAGAGAGTCCCCAGTAGGAGCGACAAATACTGAAGATCTTAATAGTTGTAGTAGTAATAATAGTATAAACTAATAAATATACGTAGTTATTTAATGAAGGTTTTATGTTATATATTTAAACGAATGAGCAAATTGCCTCCTGCGTATCTGAAACTCGCGGACAAGGTGAATTTGGTTATGCTGTAAAATTGATAATATATACATCGTGTGTCAGAACGAATTACGTGGAGATTTAAAAATACTTGGTGTGTATCGGACAGGGAACAAACCGAGGGGTTTTATAATCGCAATTTCAGCGTTTCTCCGCTCCTCTAATTCACTCGCGCAGATTGATTGGTGACAATAATTGATGCATAGCAGAGCCAGTACTGTGTAAGCCCATATTTTATCAGCTTTGTTAGGATTAGTTCTAACCACAGACACGCGTCGCTGTACCGCCCGGCACGTATCTCATTTTTAATCCGGATTATCTCGCAACTCGTCTGTTTTTTCAAACATCGCTCGTATTTGTCAAGTTGCTTGCTTAAGCTTGGATTGCTGCATCGCTCATGACAAATATATTTTCGTTGGTAATTCTAGGGTGAATGTTTCAGTTTTTTGGAACTAGAAAAACAAGACCGCTTTCTCTTTATTCCGGAGCAGGTGTTCTCATGCTATTTTATTTTTTTTTTTTACAAAAGTTACCATATTTTTGACTTAAGAATTATTAATGCCATATTTTATTTTACTTTATCACAAACAAAATTTGAAATATTTGTTTCTCTGTAATTAAACTAGAAGTAATGAAAATTACTATAACTTATATTAAAACCTGACATTAATTCCTTAAAAGCATTGTATATTCCACACGTTTCATTTTTATTATGTAATTATTTAACTTCAGTAATGAGCCGTAACCGGGAATTTAAAATAGTATTACCGTTATTATTATTATACCATTATTATTATACATTTAGGAAATAATAAAAGATATACTTATAGCGTGCGTTAGAAGTTTGACTGCCATAATTTTAATGGGCAAAATTAAAAACAGAACTGATGATATGACATACGACTTAAATCCTACTGTTATTACTGTTTGACGTACAATTACTAATTAAAAAACGCAATTTTTAGACTCAGTGTCAATTTATTGACTATATATGTAAAAGCTCTGCGTTGTATTTGCTGAAATCAGATTATTTACATAAATAGAAGCTTCATTAGTATAATGAAAATTTATATGGACCTAATGGAATATGTAATTTAATAATTCTAATACACTAATTTTGCTCGTTTCTATCGGATTGAATAAACAAATAATAATTGTGTGTTTAAAATTTCGTGTTTATAAATACAAGACATTTACAAATATTTTTTGTACGGCAAATAATGTGATTCCTCAAAAGGAAATTTAGCTCGATTTAATTAGTAAATACCTCATTAATGAGTCATAATTAAAATATAAATCCTTAATATAGACATAAATTAAAGACCCTTAAATAAAACCAACTTATCGAGGTGAACCACCTAAACGATTAAAACTTCTCATTCGGAAAGTAAATTGCCTAAAGTTTAATTAGATATATTTCAGTTATGAAATCGACCATAAATATGCGGCAGTAATCTTGAGGCCTGAATGGGAGATAAGAGTTTCTCTGCTAGATATCTAAAATTATGTCAAATAAGTATCCGTAGCGAAATTGGGTTTATGAGGACAGGCAGAGAGGTAATTTAAAATGTCGTACAGAAATGAGGATCCCATACACATTTAAACATTCGGGAATGATTTTTCGTTAGGGGAAAAATAAATTACCTTGTAAAAAAAATTCTACCACTCTTACAAAGATGTAAGTTTTAGTCTGCGCTGAATATTTCGAAATATTCGAATCGGGGAATATAAGTAGGTTTTTTTTCCTTGCTTTCGTTTTACTAATTCCCATTATTAGAAAATATGCGAATTTCAGTCAGTTAGCGATAACCGAATGCACCGAATACGGCACTGAAACCCAAAGTTTAGTTGGAAAAGTCCAAACGTCGTCCAACTTGAATTGCCTTCAGCTAATTACATTGCCTCCTGATATTTCCACCTACAATAAAACTGACCGGCAAACGAACTCCTACATTACCTGACCGGAATATTCCAGTGGAGCCCTGTCTCTTTCGGACCCTTTGAAAGCCCGCAAATATGGCTTTTTCATTGCGTCCAATAGACTTTTATAAACGGATCTATTGCACAGTCGGCTTTCGATATGGCGTTCCGATAAATTTTCGATTAAGTTAGGCCCTATGCGATTAAAAAGAGGTTTAAATTAATCGAAATTAACAAAGTTTTTCTGGGAATAACGATGTATTAAAACAGTACTACCTGGCTTCAGTATGTATAGATAGGTTGACAAATTTTTCAAAATTGACATGCATTCGTGGAAAAAGATTTATCATACAATATTTATGAAAACTTGGATAATATATTTTTAAGAGGGGGAGAGAGGTCTTGATAAAGGAGCTCATTACTAGCAAAATTTACCTTAGAAAAGTTGTCAGGAATGATAGCAAAAATATTTTTCCCTACGCCCAATGCCGTAAATGGGTAATAACGTTTATTTATGATGTGATTCTCTTACATGAATGTTTATAAACAATACAATCTCCCTCGTAAAGAAAGTTGTGGCTCTGTATTCATTTGAAGTGAACCACACTGTAAATTAATTAAAATTAAATCTAATAGGTAATAATTATTTTGCTAATTTTAAGTACGTAAAAAGTTTTCTTTTTACATGTTTACACAAGAATTTCTTTCTAAATTTTTGCGTCTTTTGCTTTAATGAGTATAACAGATAGAGTTATCCCTAAAAATAATTTTCGAGTTTGTATGTACAGGGTGAGTCAACGCTGTGGCAAAGTTGATTTATCGCTAGAATGTAACTGATATACATATAACACCTGTTATGAAAGTTGTAGAAGGTCTTTCACATCCCGTTAAAAAATACAAAATATGTATTTGCCTTTGAAAAAGATAACATTTGTTACGATTTTGTGAACACCCTGTTTGACATTTATAAACAGTGCACACTTCAGAATTTACGGTGAACATAGTACAATATGTGTGACGATTGCTTACAATTGGATTATATATCAAAAAACGAGTATATCAGCAACGATCAAGTGTAACGCCGAAAATGTCATTTTTTATATTAAAGTACATTTATTAATATCTCGGAAACGGTTTATTTTTTGCACGTAGTACCTATTACGAAAAGGTTGCATAATTACATGTAAAATTTAAATATGCACTCAAATACAGGGTGTTCCATTTAAAAAAATACAACTTTGGTCAGCCCTCCAAAAACGAATACGAATCACTGTATAAGTCAAATTATTTTTAATATGTGTATCTCTTGCCCCTCCCCCACCCGAATCTATTTTGAAATATTTTGCCTCAATTATTTTCTAGCGATGAATCAACTTTGCCACAGCGTTGACTCATCCTGTATACGTAGACCTACCCTGCATTTATAATTTATCTGAAGAGTTGTCTCCGAACTTATTCTAATTTTAACTATCTATTGCTATTGTAGTGCAATGTAGCAATTTTTCTTCTTTCAGATATCAGGGGAAAATATACCTAACTAATAATTTCCTCTGACATGCATGACTAGTAGTGCACAACTACGGATATAAGTTAAAACGTCAAATTCTAAATAGAAGCATCAATCGCGAGAAGTCCATTCCGCGTCGGATATAAATTACCTGTTTATTTGTTTAAACTAATTTGAGCGATTTAAAATGTTGCATCGGACGGGACGAGACAGTGAACGGTAATAAAACAAACGGATTATTCATTGTTGGGTATCTTTTGTTTTTTTGCAGGCACATAAAATATCATCTTTGCCGGGCAGAAGTAGTAAAACAATTCCCTGTAGCGGAAACTTGTTTCTTTCGTCTGTTAATAATAAATGGGTTAATTTTTCTAGAGCTTCGCAAATCCTCGGATTTAGCGTCCGTGAGCCCCCTAATTTGTAACGCGAGCATTTTGCAATCTTATCGTGGTCTCTTTAGGGGCTGCAGGGTACACTATTAGTTATTTACCTCCTTTCCTTAACGATTGCCTGTCTAATAAGGAGCGACACCGCCTCGGGTTGACACAAATCCAATTTTCTTTCTCTTACCTAATGATAATTACTCTGCCATGGTTGGGACCTAATTTAATATTTCTGTTGTTCCTGCATTCTATTAAATTTATATAACTTGTTTTCTTTTACTTAAAATTTAATGGATTAAGAGTCTATTGTTTGCTCGGCCCTTTAAATTTAATTGGCCGAATCCTGTAAGGTATTGTTAACGAGAATCTTCTGATGGAAGGCGGTTATTATGAGGACAATTAAAAATTAATTAAAAGCGATTTATAGGGCTCCTCCCAACCACAATCAACGGTTATGTTATTGGTGACCCCGTTGGTAACCCGAATATTATTTGTTTTTTTTTTTTTTTCATCGCTAACTTTCATTAGGCATGTATATATCTACGTTTTTCACCTTGCAATTCATATATTGTTCAAAACCACGTCCACTAATGGCAACAGGAAAATAAGTCTCAAAATAGTTGATGAAAT